AAAAAAAAAAAAGAAATTTAACAAATAAGAAGATTGTTGCCACAACAAAATAAAAATTAAAAAATTAAATGAATTTCCAGGTAGGCATAGCCGGTCACTCTGACCTGCCATAGACAGTCAGACGACCAAAAAACTATTTTCTTTTCATTTACATGACCATTTCTAAAAACAGACTTTTACTGGGCCCAAAAGCAAAAATGAAGTCATGACAAAAAAACTTTTTTGTCCAAAATTTATCAATTTATGTAGTATCCTATAGCTAATGTATTGTTATTTGCTAGAAAAAGATTATGTAGGTAATATTTATAGTTATTTTAACATATTTTCTTAGTATTTTCTGGAATTTGTTAGTAAATTTTCCTTCCCTTTACTTTATCTTTAATTTCTTGTATGACATGTCTTATTTCGGCAAAAGCTCATATTTTCAGCTAAAGTTGTGCTCAAGTTAATAAAATATTAAAACTTATGGAACTATTGTTACTTAATTGTGTATTCCAATAGTACTAGTTTTAAATAAAACAATTATAAGACTAGTTTTATAATTTTTTTGAAATGCGTATTAAATAAAACAATTATAAGACTAGTTTATAATTTTTTGAAATGCCACATGTATATTTAATGTGTCATCTCCTGCATGACGTGTGGAATTGGGGCAATAATTATTCTTATTTTGTTCAAAGCTAAGAAGAAAGTAATATTAATAAATTTTATTTATAACAAGATTACATTTGTCATCTCCAAAAATTTAAAAAATATTTTTTTTGAAAACTTTCCCCAAAATCTCCGCAAAGGCAAAATCCCTAGGACACGTGTCGAATGTATGCAGTGCAGTAAAAAATTGCCATTATTTTTGGTATAACCGTCCACACGCGGTCTAGTGTAGGTGTAGCCCTCCACTATCTCATTAAACTAAAAATAAGCATAATTTTTTTTTTTAACCTTTGTCCCGACTAATTCGTTAGTCGATTAGTGTCGCACATCTGACAATAATAAGTGAGTCTCCCAACAAAGATTTTCTATATTCGCAGGGACACGAGCTCAAGAACCTTAATTAAACGACATCAAGTTACTTACTACTTGAGTCAACCCCTATTGATAATAGCGTAAGAAATATTTAGTAAATATAGTCAGTTGCTTGCACCCTGGTAGTGTTATTTTTCTCTAAAAGAAAAGGTAATTAAAATGATTCATACCGAAATATGGAACTATTCAAGTTGGTTACTTCAAGTTTCATTTAATTATTGATTTATTAGTTAAATTCATTTAATCTTTTAAATTTTATTTATTTATTTATTTATTTGTTGGAAAAGCCATCCCAAAAGCTGGCAGACTACTCCAATGTCTTAACTGAAAGTAGCCCTAAAACAAGAATGAGAATGCGTGAAACCCATGCACGCACAAACAAGAAACATCCTTCACCTTTTTTTTTCTCGACTTTCTTGTATTTTGCTTCCCACTCTTTACATGCGACAATTATGCTTTACGGCCTTCACTTTATTTTAATATATTTTTTATCGTCACATTAATTTGCATCGCCATATATATCATCACCATCATCATAATTTGTTAGCTGCTATATATATGTGCACCTCTTCCTGGTTTTCTTCCTCTATTCCGTCTCCGACCTTTTCATCTTCTTAATTTTCGCGGAGATCTATTTATTTCTCGTATGCGAAAATTAAGAAGATAGATCGTAAAAAAATATAATGGAGGGAGATTTGATGCCTTTCTTGACAATGGTTGTGGTTCAATTGGGGTATGCCGGCATGAACATTATATCGAAACTCGCTATGGATTCTGGAATGAACCCTTTTGTTCAAGTCGCCTATCGTCAGATATTTGCAACGGTCGCCATAGCACCTTTTGCTTATTTCGTCGAGAGGTATATATATATATATATAGTACACATCAATGCCTTTTTATTTCATTTTATTTATTTTGGGTTCATTTTAACTTCATATATGAGACTTGCAACTAATTTCTCTAAAAAAAAAAAATCAGTTTGTAATAAGATGGTTTAGTTAAATCAGTTTTACTTATTATTGCCACACACATGCACCTAAGCATGTGTTTACAAAAAGAAATTAAAAAAAAAAAATAAAAAATAAAAAATAGGTGGGGAAGATTTCTAAATGATGAGTTAGGAGTTCATTTTTGTAGACTTAATTTTTCATTTTAAAGAGATGAGGTTAGTTTCGTCAATTAAGTATAGGTCATGTACATGTACGAGTTTTATGACATAAAAGAGACCAGTTAATTAGGCAAAATTTGCAATTTTAGTCATGTTGGTTTGATCCAGTGATCTTTTTAGTTCTAAGAATTAAAAATTTTGCTATTTGGCCCTATGATATTAAAATTCAACGCAATTTCAGTCATTTGAAATTGAAAATGCAACAAAATTTAAAATTACATGACTTAAATTGTTAATAAAAAATCTTTTGGATGAATTAAAGGACTAAAACTGCAACAAAATTTAAATTACATGACTTAAATTGCTAATAAAAAATCTTTTGGATGAATTTTTTATTAGCAATTTAAGTCCTGTAATTTTAAATTTTGTTGCAATTTCACTCCAAAAAATGACTGAAATTGCAGCAAAATATTAAATTGCTGGATCAAAAGACAAAAAGTTAAAATTTTGGTACTAAAAATACTACAACGTTAAACTAGCAAGACTAAAAATGCAATTTTGATACTTAATTACACAAATACAAATACAAAGAAAAAAAAAAAAAAAAAAAAAAAAAAAAAAAAAAAAAAAAAAAAAACTTAATTTGATAAAGAACAAATTAAAGAAGGTAGGTACGTACAAAAGACATGACATGTAAGAGATGAGAGAAAAACAAAATTGAGAAACCGCTTCACGTAATCAGATTATGTGCGCCACCACGTACTTTTTATTATGTATAGTAATAGTAATGTGTGTGTGACTAAATATAGACACTACTTTAACGGCACACAAACACACACCAAAAAAATAAATAAAAAATAAAATAAAATAAAAAAAAAAACTGAAATTTATTAATTAGTATCTTGGTTTAAATAATATTCATGATTAATTAATCTAACTTTACTTTAGTTGAAAGTAATTAAGTTTTTTTTGTATGTTGTCAATAATATAATATATATTGCAGGAAAACACGACCCAACATGACATTATCAATCTTTTTCCAGATTTTCTTGTGCTCCATTTTAGGGTAAGACAATATCCTAATATTCCTCTCCACTTATATGGGAAATACTACGATCTCGTTACGGAACCATTTCGTCGGGATTTGTAACGGTAAGATCATCATGTAACCGTCAGGGATAGTTGACCTAATGGTCTCAAACTCCGACGGAATAGTTCTGTAACGGAACCGTAGCATCTCCCTATATATATATATATATTAAAAAAATGCGGTAGAATTAATTGAAATTTTACCATATATATGCAGAGTTACAGTGAACCAAATCACTTACTTTGTGGGACTTAAAAATTCAACCCCTACAATTGCATGTGCCTTGAGCAATATCAACCCTGCTGTCACATTTATCATGGCTCTTCCTTTTGGGTACTCAATTCTTTCACTTATTAATCTTTTTTTTTTTTTTAATAAGTGATGGGAGATGCTACGGTCCCGTTACGGAACTATTACGTCGTGGTTTGTAACAGTTAGATCAACTATCTCGACAGTTACATGATGATATAACGGTTACAAATCTCGACGGAATGGTTTTGTAACGGTACCGTAGTATTTCCAATAAGTGATAGTGATGAAGAATTAATTTTGTTGATGGGCAGATTAGAAAAATTGGGTTTAAAGAGCAAGGCAGGACAAGCCAAAGTATTTGGCACATTAGTATGTGTTGGTGGAGCAATCTTAGTGTCGTTTTACCATGGGCCGATAGTTAATATTGGGCAATCCAGCATTCATTGGAAATACGCAGAGACAACGACATCTTCAGCAAGCCCAACGGCCCATCTAAACTTCATCTTGGGCCCATTTCTTCTTCTCGTCAGCGCCATTTCGTGGGCCGCTTGGCTAATCATCCAGGTAAAGTAATTAATTACCAAAACACATTTCATCCTTCCAAACAAAAAAAAAAAAATTAAAAAAATTAAGGAACCAATGTGGAAATTTCACTAAAATTAATGTGCAGACAAGAGTAAGCCAGAAGTACGGCTGCCCGTATTCGAGCTCGGCACTGATGTGCCTAATGGCGAGCGTCCAATGCGTCATCGTTGCCTTTTGTTTTGACCACACGTTATCCGCATGGTCGCTCCGTTCCAGCATTAGAATTGTTTCTTCCATTTACTCGGTATTTTTTTTCTTTTTTTTCAAAATTAAACTAATTTAACATTTAATAATATATTGGACGTCAATTTATGATATGTTTTTTTTTTTTTTTTTTTACTTTTATTAATTTAAACCAGGGAATAGTGTGTTCTGCTCTGGCATTTGGGCTCATGTCATGGTGTATAGAAAGGAAAGGCCCACTTTATGTATCAATGTTTAGTCCCTTGCTATTAGTTATTGTGGCTATCCTCAGTTGGGCTTTGCTTAATGAAAAGCTCTATGCCGGAACGTAAGCCCATCTTTTCATTCTCTTTTTTCTTTTTTTCTTTCTTTTTTTTTTTTCCACATTGAAAATCTGGCTTTGACATATATAATTTTATTTTTTATTTTTTTGGCAGACTTGTAGGGTCAAGTTTGATTGTTTTGGGACTGTATGGAGTTTTATGGGGTAAGAAAAGGGAAATGATCAATTTAAAGGATGACAATGGCAATATTCAAGAATTAGGAGGTGATCATGAGAAAGGCAACCGAGGAGTCGATGCTGATTACGACTTAGAGTCGCTTTCGACAACCAATGTTCACGGTCACGGCCAACACAAAACTGAGCATTGATGTTGTTCATGTCATAGCTGGCCAGTTAGTGCTCTTTCTAGTCATGGACATGCAAAACGGATTACTTGGTCCTAGCTTAACAAGCTTTAGAGAGAATTATTTGTTATATAGGTTATATTGGAGTCGAGGATAATTTATTTATTACTATATGTAGGGTTACATTTGTAAGAGTACTAAAAATATTTGGCTCACTTAGTTTATGATCAATAGCTTGCTTTGTACCAAAAAAAAAAAAAAAAAAATATGGTTTGCTCTTTTATCTTGTTTTCTGAACTTGAAACGTTTCGAAGATATCTATAATCAAATCCCAACAAGTGTATTCCAACCACTTCAAACCAAGTTCTTAATTCAAATCTAAATTTCAAGACATTTATCACTTCTGAGCTTGAGTTTCTTAGATCTCGTTGCTCGCAATATAAATAAATCAAGCATTAATTTTCACTACTTTTTATTTGTATCAAAAAACAAATTATTATCATAGTACTTTCAGCGAAAATATAGGCAAATTTTCGAAACTGGTCCTTTTAATTTGACTAAAGTCCAAAAAAATTCACACTGTCATTGACCACTTTCAATGTGGGTCTATTAATTTGTCAATTTCATCAATTTTAATCCCTATTTATCCACACTCTGGATAAAAAAATTGACGTGGCGTGTTTCTTATCTGATGTGGCGACTTCATGTAAATTTAATAATTCCGATATAGTCAAGTGAAAAATAAAATTGACACCTCATCCTATTCTCTCCTTATATTATAAGTCGGTCCCAAATTATGAACCCTAATTCCTTCAATCACGAGAAAGCTCGAGACTGAAAGAGAGAACACCGATGTCTTCACCTTCTTCATTCTCATCTCCTTCCAATCTTTTTTTGTTATTGTGGTTTGAGAGCTCAACTACGCACATTATATTCCATTAAATCCTAGTAAGAAATTTCAGGGTTGCGAAAATAGGCAAGAGGGGGGTTGTAAATTGTTTAAATGGTAGGATGAACTCGTAGCTCGAACAATCAGATTTGGCAAATGAAATGATTGAACTCAACACAAGATGTTATTGCTTGAAGCCGATAAGAAAAAAATGAAGGAGAGTGTTGAACTCCAATTTTAGCATGCGCAGGACATTTATGTTGAAGAATTTTCCAAAATCTGATAAAAAATTTGGAAGCTAGAAATGTTTGTTTCTACAACATGGGTTATGTTCATCATTTTTATTGTTGTCGTGTCGTGAAATATGTATTTTTTCTTTAGTTTTATCGATTAGCTACCAGAACATTATATTCATCATTTTTACTGGTTATCTTCTTTGAATGAACAGTTTGTTTGATGAATGAACACTATGTGTGTGCCAGATTTTTGTATTTGTTCAATGTGAAGTTATGGGTTCATATTGATCTTGTTGGAACCCACGAGGATCTCGATATGCACAAATCACAGACAAACATTCAA